GCACCCGGCGCTTCTTCCTCTTCTCGGCTTCCGAGCCCGGGGACGCCGGCCGAGCGGAGGGCCGCTGCGACGAGGCTGGCGGGCTGGCCTCCGGGCTGCTCTCGTCCGAGGCTAGGGACGGCAAAGGAGACACGGCCTGGTGAGACCCGGCCCTTGCGAGCGCTTGCTGCCCGTTTCGCGGGGGCGCCGAGCGGCCGGCCGGAGGGCACCCCCTTCGCTAGCGGCTTTCAGGGTGAGGCCATTTTTCTCCCCTGAGTCCACATGTGGACAGCCACCTCTCCGAATTCAGTGACCTCATTCATCACACTACAACACTAACCACCAGACCTGAGGTTGTGCCCCAAAGAAACCCACCCCAGGCTCTCAAAATGTCCGCACTGGTAGCGGCGCTGGCCGACCAGTGTACCGCAAGCTGGGTCACCAACACAGGCCACCTCCATATCGACTGCACTGCAGTTTGCCGAGGTTTGCAAAACCCTGAAGGGCGGCGGGTAAGCTCCCGAATGCTGCCCATCCCAGACCAAGGCCTGGAAAACGTGGCCGTGTTTTCAAGAGTATAAGGCCGGGGGGAGGGGTCGTGGGGGGGGGGGGGGGGGTGTTAAGTATTTAATTCCGACCCCTAAGAATCCCCAGCTACAGGAACCCAAATCCTGGGCACTAATGCCAGGAGCAGGGATCTGCCCGCAAGGTGTGCCGACCTGCACGCATGGGATAGGGGTTTGAGGACACAGCCTCCATTTCCAGGACTGAGGAAATCCAGACCCTGGGCTGGGGGTTATCAGGTCCCAGCCCCGCTTGGACAGGGCGCTTGCTACTACTCCCCCAATAACCCCCCACCGCAGTCCTCCACTCACTCACATGGGTAGTGGCCGCGCTCCGACTCCAACCAGGTTGCGCAGAGGTCGGGCCGGGGCGCGCGTGGCTCTGGCTCCCGCCTAGGCAGGTGCTGCGCCTCCTGCTCGGGTAAATCCAGGAGCCTGCGCACGGTGAAGCCAAGGCGTGCAGAGGTGGCCATGGCCGAGTAGGGGAAGGAGGCGGGGGCAGGGCGGGCTGGGAATCGAGGGGCGGCCGGGGACGCCGCTCCTACTGGTGGGCGTAGGAGGCGCTTGCCATGCGCGGGCCGCCGGGATATTAGCGCAGTTACAGCGAAATCCCTGTTTATATAAACAGCTCTTCCCGCCCGGGCCGCTTTGAAAGCCGAGGTCCGGGTCTCCAGGGTGTTAAGTACCTGAATGAGTGCTGGACCAAAGCACGGGCGAGCCCGGAAGGTGGCACCTCCGCCCCTGCCCCGCCCCGTCCCCAGCCCCCGCCCCTCAGCGCCTAGTTACCTCCCAGAGGCGGCAGGAAGCAGCGTCCAGCATTAGAGATTCTGCCTGATTAGCCCAAAGTGTGGGCAGATAATGGGGATTGTTACCAGTGAATAACATCTTGGGTGGCAAGCGGTGGCCACCACCCTTCCAAACCAGCCCCTGCCCCAGCTTCCTCCTCCTATTGGGTTGACTTGGGGACTGGGCCCGCGAGAGCGCCGGGAAGGGTGGGGGCGGCATGGGTGGTTTTATGAGCACCCAGGAATTTATGCACTGTTTGCTTAATTCCTCGAGCTTGCTTGCTGGAGTGTTAGTGTCCCGCAATTATCCAGAGAGTGATTTACAAAGCGGCGTTAAGCTCTGGTGCGCTCCCTTTCTCTTTTTAGTTGGGCCCCTCTAAGGATTCAGGGCGAGAAGTTCCAGGAGGGCGCAGAGAGTGGCTACGACTTGTCAGCATCTGGGCCGAGGATTTCGAAGCCGACTGGGAGCCTCCCCACACCTAAAGCATGTCCCGCGCAGCCTCAGGGGTGCCTGAAAAGGGCTGGGAGCATGTGGGGAGCCCCGGCTCCGCGCCGTCTCCCCAGGCCGGCAAAACAGAGGCGGCATATGGCCAAACTGCTCAGGTTCGAGGTGCCGGTCTCATTGATCCAGTGCCGCCCAGTTGCTGCCCGTCGCGGGGCCGGGGCTCGGTGACCGAGCTCCGCAAAGCTGGGCCCAGGCCTGCACTAGGACACACGGGCAGCGGCTTTTCTCAGGGCGGCTTATGAGGACTTTGAGGCCTCACTAGAGTAGCCAGATATTTTGGCGCCACCTGTGCGCCTAGACTCCATAGGCTCAAAGTCAGTCCCAATGCCTGGGCTGTGGCCTCTGCTGAGGAGCGGGCCGGTGGCCTGCGCTCCACGCTACCTGTAGGGCAGACTCCCGCGCGGCTGCCCGGCTTGGTCCGGACCTATCGGTAGAATTAGGATGGAGCCCGCCCAGCAGAAAATAGGCAGGCTGGGGCTATCTCCTGGATCTTCTAGTCTCCACAGCCCCATCCGAGAAAATGATCAATCAGGCTCAGGGGACTGGCCGGCGTGGGGACAGTTTGTTGGCCCCTGGCCGCGCTTCAGTCTAGGGCTCAGCAAGCACACTCAGAGGCCTCTCTTCCTGCAGCTAGTGGTTTGGGTATTTTGTTGCTAAATTTTAGCGAAGAGCGCTGCGCTTGGATGGCCGCACTCGAAGTCATGGCTCCTCCCGGGCTGAACTCGAACCTGGCTCGGTCGCAGCGGCCGGGACCCTGTCCGGTCCCGCGCACCCTCCCCAGCGGTCTCCGTATCAAGCGTGCCGGAGGTGCCCGGGGCTGCGCTGCACGCTGGGTGGTCGGGCGGAGGCAACCCCAATACAGGCCAACTGCTAGGCTGGGGACAAAGGGGAAATGGAGCTCGACGCCCCAGACCTGTTGGAAGCATTTGTTCCAGTCAAGATTTTGCATTTGTTCAAGTCCAGAATAATGCGTGATTGACGCCTGCTCACAATGAGCTTTAGTGCGCCGGGATAAATCGAAGCTTGTCCGGTGTTGTCATGGTTTTCAACGGGGTTCAATGGGATTGGGAGCACGATCGACTCTGCTGGCCGTCTTTCCGCGGCCCGGGCAATAGATTTATTAGTTATGTCTTTTTAAATAAGATTAAATTGAAATGACTTGGCTCTCCCCTCTGCAAACGGGGCCGACGCGGGAGCCTGGGGTGGGCAGAGAGAAGAGGAGGTCGGAAACCCGGTGCGCACTGCGCCCCGCCACCCAAGCCCCCGAGTTTTAGAAAGTGGTTAGGTTGGAGACTGGCTCAGGGCCTCGTGGACTTCTCTCTAGATAGAGCCCGAGAAGCGGAGGGAGGACACTGACAAAGACCGTCTTCCAGAAGCGTTAGGACAGACTCCCAAATTCGGGCCTGAACTGCGAGGCTGTGTCGGATAGAGGGCTGGAAATAAATTCACATCCTAGCTCCAGCCCTAGCTATCTCTAATCACCTCGCTGATCTGAGCCTTTTTTTCACATGTGAAACAGAGGACAACAGATTTGGTAATTTCTAAGGATGCACCAGTTTTATGATTTCATACCTCTGGAATATTTCTAAATCTATCTTTTTTGTGACGTTTACCAGTGGACTTTTGGCCTCCCTCCCCCCTCCGGTTCTTGAGATCTCATTCCAAGGACTCTGACTCCACCTTCTCCAGGATGTTCTAGGAAAGGATGTGTCATCTTTTGTTTCCCAAGGACCTTCCACAGGAGTGGGGGGGGGGGCAGATAACGATTTTGGGAAGAGAACCAAGTCAGGAGAAGGAAAAGATGAGTCTTTCCTTGAGTGACTGACCTCTCTTAGCCTTTTAATCTATTTAACATCCTAAGCCCACACTGACGTGTAGAAATAAGTAAATGGTACTCTTCAGTTCTTAAGAGCTCTTCAGCATCAAATATTTGCTTTTACTTAGTGTTTGGCTCCCAAAGCAGAGATACATCCCCCATCTAGCACTTGTGCTCTGGGGAGGACTTGGCTCTGGGATTAGCTCCAAATATTACTTCTAGCTCCTCTTCTTTGTCCTGGGAACAGTGTCCTTGGTCCCAGTCTGCGTTTTGGATATGCCAGGAAAACCCTGCACCTCCTGGTTCAAGAAAACACTGCAACTTCCCTGCTTCATCGTGGATTCTCTCCTCCATAAACATCTCTGCCACAGTCTAACCTTCTTCTCAACTCTGCTCTGGGGCTTTATCTAAACGACCTCCAAGAGCTAGAGCCTGGGGACTCCAGGAGGTTGTTCCATATAAACTGCACCTTCTGAAGAAATCGAGGAAGGGTGGTGGAGAGCCAGAATTATTAGTGAAAGGTGCTTTCTTTATTGCCTCTTCACATCAGATAAACTCAAAGACATGGAAGGAGAACATTATTTTGATATTAGGTCAATAAAAATGGTAGTCAAGATACTCAATTTTTCTTTACACGTTGGAAATATATGTATGAATTGCCTCCAATTCACAAGAGATTCTTAGAATCACAAGTAAACATCTAACTGGACATTCTTTCCAAATTTTCAAATATTGTTTGGTGTTTCAGACACTTGAACTTATTTTGCAACTCATCATAGCTTGTGAATATTGTTATTTAATTAGATAATTATTTGTTTCCTTGTATAGCATCTCAATTCCAATAAGAGTTTTTAATCTTCAGGCATCTGTGATGTAGTGAATATATTTAAGCCATCCACACTAATAATCCTTTCAAAAGTATTATTCAGAGATGATCAGCACTGCTACATGCTTAATAATTTAAGACTGGAAAACTCTGAAATAAAAATAAAAGTATCTTGACTTTTTAAAAACGATTGACTGCTACATGCTTAATAATTTAAGACTGGAAAACTCTGAAATAAAAATAAAAGTATCTTGACTTTTTAAAAACGATTGCATCTGTATCTTGCTTTTCATTTTTAAATCCTTTCATTTTGGTTAAGTGTTTCACAAAATCCTGCAAATCTGTACAGTATTGAAGAAAGGCAACATTCCAAATTCCCCTTGATAGATGGAGGGCCCTCAACTGCCAGGACATTTTTCTTTGCCTCATAGCAACTGCTGTTCCTTTTTTTTTTTTTTTTAATCAGTATTCTGGTTAAAGTAGCAAAAAGAAAGTAAAAATGGGCTTTTGACACTTCGAAGCAGAAGTGGATGATCTTGATTGGTCATAGGATGGGAAGAAAAGGCACCATTTAAAGTCAGACCTCTTTGCCTTTCCTTCTGAAAACTAGTTGACATGAATAAGTAAACATTTCCCTTTTAATAGCTAATAATAAATTGCTTGGAGGTGGTCTGGGCCTGACTGCCGTTCTTCCTTGGTTGTATTGATGATATATACACATAGGACAGGAAACAGCAATTACTTTCAGGCTGGGAATTTAGTACATCTTCGAAATGGGCTTTAGATTTTATTGTTTAATGGCGAATGACAAGATTTGAAAGATCCCACCTTAAGGCTCTTAAAATATTGACTTTACATTGACTTTGTTGTTGTTGTTGGTCGCTAAGGGGAAAGTTTTTCTTTACTAATATGTTTATCTAGTTAAATACATACATAAAAATATATACAGGGAGTAACATGGTCCAATGAATTTAAAAAATAAATGTATTAAATTAAATATCCATAGTCTCTTTCCTAGCCAGCAAATAAATATTGCTGGTCTTCCTCATGTCTTACAATGGTATAAAAAGGATAGATGTGTTGGCATGGTATATGAGTTATCAGAATAAAAATAAGACAGCTTGGAGGGATTGGGTGTCAAATCTTATTTGTCCAGAGCTGAACTTTTAATCTTTTTTTTTTTAAGGTTTATAGTCCTTTGCTTGACTAATGTAGATATTATTCTATAACAAAGGAGGATCCTTATTGATGTTTACATAATAAAAATCCAGGCACATACAGACAGACAGGGTAGACTGACCCCAGGAACATACTTTATGATACTTATCCCAGTACTTCACACAGGCCTGCCTACAGTGCATGCTTACAACCAACCACCAACCTTTCAGTTCAAGGCAGTTACTTTTTTTCTGGAATTATCCAACCATTATAATGGAGCCTTTTTAATATATACCTTTACTTTGTTCTGAGATCAATGCTGGAATTCTTAAAAGGTCACATTATTAAAGTGAGGTATTATTTCTTTCTTATTTGACAAAAAG